TGTCATTGTTTTCGGTAAAACGTTTGAAGAACACCTCCAGCGATTGAGAGGGGTGTTCTTGCGAATGCGATCGGCTAAATTAAAGTTTAAACCGGCCAAATGCCACCTTTTTCGTAAATCCGTGAGGTACTTGGGTCACATTGTCGACTCTTCGGGGATTTCTACCGATCCTGCGAAGACGGACTGTGTCAGTTCGTGGCCGACGCCCACGTCAGTGTCAGACGTGCGCAGTTTCATCAGTTTTGCTTCGTATTATCGCCGATTCATTGAGCACTTCGCCACCATTGCAAAACCCTTGCACGCTCTAACGGCGAAAGGAGTGAAGTTCCGATGGGGACCGGAGGAGGAGGCTGCATTCTGCTCCCTCCGGGACGCCTTGGTTAGGGCCCCACCCTTGCGCTATCCGGACTTTGCGAGTCCCTTCTTGCTAGACACAGATGCTAGCAACACGGGCATTGGGGGAGTGCTGTCCCAAGTCGTTGGAGGGGTCGAACGAGTGGTCGCCTATGGTAGCAGGGTGTTGTCGCCGGCAGAGCAGCGCTACTGCGTCACCCGTCGCGAACTGCTTGCCATTGTTTTTTTTGTACAACAATTCAGGCCATATCTCTATGGTCGTCATTTCACGGTCCGGACGGACCACGCGGCGCTCCAGTATTCATTGCGGGTCGCCCAGCCCTCGGGCCAATTGTCGCGGTGGTTGGAAGTCCTCCAGGACTATCAGTTCACGACTACGTACCGTAAAGGGTTGCGACACACAAATGCCGATGCCCTGTCGCGGTTGTTGCCTTGTCACAAATGTGCGTGCTTATCGGGATCGGCGCGCTGTAAACCGCCGGTTACGGAAGGTAGGGAGGCGTTGGTTGCGACCGCGAGCACACCAATTGGGGATGGTCCCGCTACCCCAGGGGGTCAGGACTCGCTGCTCTCACTGTCATTGATTGAGTGGGGCCGTCTCCAAATGGCGGACAGCTCCCTGCTGGCATTGCGCCGCAAGACGGGGGGTTCCGAAGGTAACCACGACCGAACTGGCTCCTACGAGCTTAAGCAAGGCCTGTTGATGAGATGGGACAGTTTGTCCCGGCGGCATGCGATTGTGGTGCCTTCTGCTGTGAGGGGGAAGGTTGTCTTGGCCGCACACGAACGCCTCTTGCATTTGGGAGTTAACAAAACGCTTGCCCTGCTTCAGCGTGACTATTATTGGCCGGGAATGGGGGGTGACGTGGTGAATATTCTGAAGGGTTGTGTTGAGTGCGCCAGACGGAAACCACCGCCCGTGGCAGCTAATCCACCGCTGCAATCTATTCAGGTCTCGCGCACTAACGAGCTCGTTGCACTCGATATTCTGGGGCCTTTTCCGGTCACGCCTAGGGGTAATAAGTACCTGTTGGTGGGGGTCGAATATTTTACCCGGTGGCCTATGGCGTGGCCACTCGCCAACCAGTCGGCAGCGGCTGTGACGGACGCCTTTGTCCAGGGCTACGTCCTGGACAAGGGGGCTCCCGAACGCTTGCTGACTGACCAAGGGAAAAATTTTTCGAGTAAATTACTGCAAGAGGTGTGCGACCTGTTGGGTACCAAGAAGGTGCGTACCTCCCCGTACCACCCGCAGACGGACGGGATGGTGGAGAGGCTTAACAGGACATTGACTTCTATGCTGTGCCAGCAGGTGTGTGAGGCACATGTTGATTGGGACCTGCAGGTTCCTGGGGTCCTCGCCGCGTATAGAATGGCCCCCCATGCAGCAACGGGATTTTCCCCGTTTTATCTAATGTAGGGTCGGGAAGCCGACCCGCCCATGGAAACGCAGCTGGGTCTGCCCGCACCACGAACTAATTCGAAATTGGCAGAGCATATTAAATTTAATATTCATAAGCTGACAGAGGCAAGGGAGGCCGCACGGCTTAATTCGCGGGCTCGCCAAATTGCAAACGAGCGGTTGCGGGCACGGAAGGTGTCCGTGCACAATTGGGAACCAGGTGACAGCGCCTGGCTGCATTGCCCTCAGGCACCTTTGGCTACGTCGCCTAAATTGTTGAAGCCGTGGCGGGGACCCGTGGAGGTCGTGCGGGTTGCACGCCCCCAGTGCGTTCAGATAAAATGGGGAAAACGCCGTTGGTACGTCCACCCCTCCCGACTGAAACCGTTCTCGCCTCCGTATGGCCTCCCCTTGTGTCGTGAGGGCCGAGCATGTGACGTGACCGACGACCCTGAGGGGGAATTGTCTTTGCCTGCTCCTCACATGTCTCCGCCTGATCCGCTCCCAGGTGTCTCGGAACTGACAGATGCCGACCACCGGCGGCCGGATCTTCACGGCGGGGCCGGTCCTTCCAGGCCCGATCCGCGCCGTCTAGAGCTGCCGGAGCCACCGGACGGTCGCCAACGTCCCGTCCCATACGACGGACCGGCCAGACGGACTCGCGCTAGGTCGCGCTACTTTGTGTGACCTACCACGTGAGGAGTCGAGGCAGCCGGAGCGCCTCGGCACTGCGTTTAGTCAGAGTGACACTTGGCGTGTTCGTTTTACGGTGTTCGCTTTTACTGTATTGTTCGTCGGGCTGTATATTGCTTCGTATTTAAGTGTTGTGTTGTGTTGTTGTTGTTGTGTTACGGGGCACACTGGGAGGTGGAGTTTCTTTGTTACTGCGTTGACGTTAGGTTGTGTTGTTGGTTAACAGCCGGGCCGGCTGCAAGCTATGTGGGAGGGGGTGATGTAGTGGTGATACGCGCTGGGATTAGGGATCGTATGCCAGCACGTAATGATTGGCTGTGTAGGTGGTGACGCGCGCTGACGGTGGAGGATCAGGGGTCAGCGCGGGGTCGTGGGTTACGGGGTACTGATTGGCTGGGGGCCGGTGACGCTGAGAGGGAGTGATCAGGTGGCAGCGCGGTGTGATTGGAGGAGGAGTGTTAACACGCGCTGGGGAAAACGGATCGTAGAGAGAGTGCGTCGTGATTGGTTCACTAAGGAACGATGCTCACGTCGACGTCCGCATCAGCTCCGTCTCTCGTGAGCAGGGGCTATAAAAGGGGATGCACACAGGCGTAAGGGCAGTGTGTAACCAGCGAAGAATGAAGACGGGGATGAAGACCTAGGGCCCTGCGGTACCTAGTCCCGCTGTCCTAACGGGACCGGGACTCTGTGTAACCCAGAGGCGAGTGTAGTGTGTGTAGCCATAGGCATAAGGTCTACACGAGCCGAATGCATTGTGTGTAGCCAGGGACATAGGGTCTACACGAGTCGAGTGTATTGTGTAGCCAGAGGCATAGGGTCTACACGAGTGAAGTGTATCATGTTTAGCCAGAGGCCTAGAGTTTACACGAGATTAGTGGAGTGTGTAGTCGGAAGAAGGGAGACCACACGTTGTATTTTGACACGTAAAGATTTAATAAAAGTGTGTTCCCGTCAAGAAGTTCCTGCCGTCAATTCCAATACTTCACCAGTACCAAGATATAAGAATTGGGTTTTCCCCTTTTTTCTGGCAACAAAACCGAATCCTCTTTTTTTTTACAAAGAATCATGTCTGCATTAACCACAATACTATGCAAACCAAAAACATACTCTGATAATAAAGGCGTACAGCTGTACGCCTTTTGGCGTCCTCTGGTCTAACACCGTTTGAGACGAGGCTCAAAAGAAAGCTGTCTCTGGTGTAGACCAATCAGTTTCAAGGACAATGCATAGATTATCAGAGTATGTTTTTTTTTAAATCTAGATTTGTTTTCATTCTGACCGCAACTATTGTGGTTAATGCAGACATGATTCCTTGTAAAAAAAGGTCTCATTTTCGTTGCCAGAAAAAAGGGGAAAACCCTATTCTTATTACGATACATTATTCACAGTATCTGTATGTACAACAAACAAATATAACACGAAACACATACGCGCAGTGGCTGGGGATTGTGCGGGTTTCATGGGCAGTGTCTCAATTGGCTGCATGGGCAAGATTCACGCCGTCCGGAGGTGCAGGTTTCCTGGCCCTCGAGTAAATTATATAAATTATATTACCGAATGAATCGGCGCACGTAATACAACCGCGTCTCCTTCTCACGTTCAGTCCCTCCACGTGCAGCGAATGTTTTGCACATCGCATTGGCCACGCGGCTCTCCGAAAGAGTTCGGTCTAAATCAGCGGCATTGGTGGTAACGCGGTGCGGACAAAGTCCGTGCACGATCATCATCATCATACACTTTGATTCTTTCGGTAAAGTCACGTAGGTATAAAATAAAATATTTTTGGTTCTTAAAATATTTTATTTTATTTTCTTCCCTACGCGACTTTACCGAAAGAACCAAAGAGTATGGATCCCTGCGGTCATGAAAGCTTCAAATCAAGATCATCATCATCATCTTATATTCTTGGTTCTTTCGGTAAAGTCATGTAGAAGAGAAATAATAAAATAATACAAATATCAAACAATATTATCAGAGTATGTTTAATATTTTTATTATTTTATTATTTCCCTTCTACATGACTTTACCGAAAGAACCAAGCATATGAATCCCTGCGGTCACGAAAGTTTTAAATAAAAAAATCATCATCATCGTTAATATTTTTCGATTTAAAGCTTTCGTGACTGCATGCAGGGATTCATCTTCTTGGTTCTTTCGGTAAAGTCACGTAGGAGGGAAATAATAAAATAATAAAAATAAAACATAATAAAATAGCAATATAATAAAATAATAAAATTAAATATAATGTTTTTTTAGAATGTTTTATTTTATTTATTTTATTATTTCCCTTCTACGTGACTTTACCGAAAGAACCGAGAAGATCGTTAATATTTTACATAATATGCAAATTAGTTGGCTTGTGACGTCACAACCATTGCCTCCTTAGTCCCCGCCCCCTTTCCGTCACGCCCCCCAAGCACAGAGCGTTGTGTTCCTCCGCCGCCGTCGGCGGTGCGCTTCGGTCCTCCCGAGGGGGCGGGGCAGGCAGGAGGGGGGGGAGGGGCGAGGCGGGGAGGGGGTTGTGTGTAGGCGGGTTGTGAGTCGTGCGCTTCCGCGCTCGTCAGCTAGCGCCGCGCCGGGCGATGTGGAGCACGAGGAGGTGGAGGAGGAGGAAGTGTAGGAGCTGCTGTCACTGCTGCTGCTACTGCTGCTGCTGAGGCTGCTGCTGCTACTGCTGTTGCTGTTGAGGAAGCCGCAGCTGTTTGAAGGAATCCTCGCGAACGGGTCTCGGACACCGCGAGGGAGGAGGATCAATGCGTCTGGCTGGCTGCGGCAGCAACGAGCCCGGTGAACGGTGAGTGAGTGGGTGGGTTGTACGTGAACGTGTGTCTGAATGAATGTGTGATGAATTAACATGTGTGTGTGTGGTAGTGTGATTGTGCGTGTGTGTGTGGGGGGGGGGGGGTCATTCAGAAGTGCTCGCCAACACCACTTGCACACAAAAGTCTGATGAGGATAATATGGGGGGGGGGGGGGGTGGGATCTTTGTGTATTGTTTGTTTGGGTGAAAGTGGATGTGTGTGGGTGAGTGTGGGTGAGTATGGGTGAGTCAATGTGTATGTGTGGGTGAGTGTGGGTGAGTCGATGTGTATGTGTGGGTGAGTGTGGGTGAGTCAATGTGTGGGTGAGTGTGTGGGTGAGTGTGGGTGAGTCAATGTGTGGGTGAGTGTATGGGTGTGTGTGGGTGAGTCGATGTGTGTGTGTGAGTGTGGGTGAGTCAATGTGTGGGTGAGTCAATGTGTGGGTGAGTGTGTGGGTGAGGGTGGGTGAGTCAATGTGTGGGTGTGTGTGGGTGAGTCGATGTGTGTGTGTGAGTGTGGGTGAGTCAATGTGTATGTGTGGATGAGTGTGGGTGAGTCAATGTGTGGGTGTGTGTGGGTGAGTCGATGTGTGTGTGTGAGTGTGGGTGAGTCAATGTGTATGTGTGGGTGAGTGTGAGTGAGTCAATGTGTGGGTGAGTGTGTGGGTGAGTGTGGGTGAGTCAATGTGTGGGTGAGTGTATGGGTGTGTGTGGGTGAGTCGATGTGTGTGGGTGAGTGTGGGTGAGTCAATGTGTGGGTGAGTCAATGTGTGGGTGAGTGTGTGGGTGAGTGTGGGTGAGTCAATGTGTGGGTGTGTGTGGGTGAGTCGATGTGTGTGTGTGAGTGTGGGTGAGTCAATGTGTATGTGTGGATGAGTGTGGGTGAGTCAATGTGTGGGTGTGTGTGGGTGAGTCGATGTGTGTGTGTGAGTGTGGGTGAGTCAATGTGTATGTGTGGGTGAGTGTGGGTGAGTCAATGTGTGGGTGTGTGTGGGTGAGTCGATGTGTGTGTGTGTGTGGGTGAGTCAATGTGTATGTGTGGGTGAGTGTGGGTGAGTCAATGTGTGGGTGAGTGTGGGTGAGTCAATGTGTGGGTGAGTGTGTGGGTGAGTGTGGGTGAGTCAATGTGTGGGTGAGTGTGGGTGAGTCAATGTGTGGGTGTGTGTGGGTGAGTCGATGTGTGTGTGTGAGTGTGGGTGAGTCAATGTGTATGTGTGGGTGAGTGTGGGTGAGTCAATGTGTGGGTGTGTGTGGGTGAGTCGATGTGTGTGTGTGTGTGGGTGAGTCAATGTGTATGTGTGGGTGAGTGTGGGTGAGTCAATGTGTGGGTGAGTGTGGGTGAGTCAATGTGTGGGTGTGTGTGGGTAAGTCGATGTATGTGGGTGAGTGTGGGTGAGTCAATGTGTGGGTGAGTGTGGGTGAGTCAATGTGTATGTGTGGGTGAGTGTGGGTGAATCGATGTGTGTGTGTGGGTGAGTGTGGGTGAGTCGATGTGTATGTGTGGGTGAGCGTGGGTGACTCAATGTGTGTGTGTGGGTGAGTGTGGGTGAGTCAATGTGAGTGTGGGTGAGTCAATGTGTGGGTGGGTGTGGGTGAATCAATGTGTGTGTGTGGGTGAGTGTGGGTGAGTCAATGTGTGTGTGTGGGTGAGTCGATGTGTGTGTGTGTGGGTGAGTGCTCCCTACGTGTTCGCTCGCTATTAACAACGCTTTCCCCATCGGTCTCTGTTAATGCGTTGTCTCTGTGATGTATATCTGTCCGCTTGTGCACTGCTACGTGAGTGTGTGCTGCTACGTGAGTATGTGTACTGCTACGTGAGTGTGTGTACTGCTACGTGTGTGTGTGCTGCTACGTGAGTGTGTGTACTGCTACGTGTGTGTGTGTGCTGCTACGTGAGTGTGTGTACTGCTACGTGAGTGTGTGTACTGCTACGTGTGTGTATGCTGCTACGTGAGTGTGTGTACTGCTACGTGTGTGTGTGCTGCTACGTGAGTGTGTGTACTGCTACGTGTGTGTGTGTGTACTGCTACGTGAGTGTGTGTACTGCTACGTGTGTGTGTACTGCTACGTGAGTGTGTGTGCTGCTACGTGAGTGTGTGTGCTGCTACGTGAGTGTGTGTACTGCTACGTGTGTGTGTGTACTGCTACGTGAGTGTGTGTACTGCTACGTGTGTGTGTACTGCTACGTGTGTGTGTACTGCTACGTGTGTGTGTGTGCTGCTACGTGAGTGTGTGTGCTGCTACGTGAGTGTGTGTGCTGCTACGTGAGTGTGTGTACTGCTACGTGTGTGTGTGTACTGCTACGTGAGTGTGTGTACTGCTACGTGTGTGTGTACTGCTACGTGAGTGTGTGTACTGCTACGTGTGTGTGTGCTGCTACGTGTGTGTGTGCTGCTACGTGAGTGTGTGTACTGCTACGTGAGTGTGTGTACTGCTACGTGTGTGTGTGCTGCTACGTGTGTGTGTGTACTGCTACGTGAGTGTGTGTGCTGCTACGTGTGTGTGTGTGTGCTGCTACGTGTGTGTGTACTGCTACGTGAGTGTGTGTACTGCTACGTGTGTGTGTACTGCTACGTGAGTGTGTGTGCTGCTACGTGAGTGTGTGTACTGCTACGTGAGTGTGTGTACTGCTACGTGTGTGTGTGCTGCTACGTGTGTGTGTGTACTGCTACGTGTGTGTGTGTACTGCTACGTGTGTGTGTGTACTGCTACGTGAGTGTGTGTACTGCTACGTGAGTGTGTACTGCTACGTGAGTGTGTGTACTGCTACGTGAGTGTGTGTGTGTACTGCTACGTGAGTGTGTGTACTGCTACGTGAGTGTGTGTACTGCTACGTGTGTGTGTACTGCTACGTGTGTGTGTGTGTACTGCTACGTGAGTGTGTGTACTGCTACGTGAGTGTGTGTACTGCTACGTGAGTGTGTGTACTGCTACGTGAGTGTGTGTACTGCTACGTGTGTGTGTGTACTGCTACGTGAGTGTGTGTACTGCTACGTGAGTGTGTGTACTGCTACGTGTGTGTGTGTACTGCTACGTGAGTGTGTGTGTGCTGCTACGTGAGTGTGTGTACTGCTACGTGAGTGTGTGTACTGCTACGTGTGTGTGTGTACTGCTACGTGAGTGTGTGTACTGCTACGTGTGTGTGTGTACTGCTACGTGTGTGTGTGTACTGCTACGTGAGTGTGTGTGCTGCTACGTGTGTGTGTGTACTGCTACGTGAGTGTGTACTGCTACGTGTGTGTGTGTGCTGCTACGTGTGTGTGTGTACTGCTACGTGTGTGTGTGTGCTGCTACGTGAGTGTGTACTGCTACGTGAGTGTGTGTACTGCTACGTGTGTGTGTGTGTACTGCTACGTGTGTGTGTGTGTACTGCTACGTGTGTGTGTGTGTACTGCTACGTGTGTGTGTGCTGCTACGTGAGTGTGTGTGTACTGCTACGTGAGTGTGTGTACTGCTACGTGAGTGTGTATACTGCTACGTGAGTGTGTGTGTACTGCTACGTGAGTGTGTACTGCTACGTGAGTGTGTACTGCTACGTGTGTGTGTGTACTGCTACGTGAGTGTGTGTACTGCTACGTGAGTGTGTGTGTACTGCTACGTGTGTGTGTATACTGCTACGTGAGTGTGTGTACTGCTACGTGTGTGTGTGTACTGCTACGTGAGTGTGTGTGTACTGCTACGTGTGTGTGTATACTGCTACGTGAGTGTGTGTACTGCTACGTGTGTGTGTGTGTGTACTGCTACGTTAGTGTGTGTGTACTGCTACGTTAGTGTGTGTGTACTGCTACGTGAGTGTGTGTGTACTGCTACGTGTGTGTGTGTGTGTACTGCTACGTTAGTGTGTGTGTACTGCTACGTGAGTGTGTGTGTACTGCTACGTGAGTGTGTGTACTGCTACGTGTGTGTGTACTGCTACGTGTGTGTGTACTGCTACGTGTGTGTGTACTGCTACGTGAGTGTGTGTGCTGCTACGTGAGTGTGTGTACTGCTACGTGAGTGTGTGTACTGCTACGTGTGTGTGTGCTGCTACGTGTGTGTGTGTACTGCTACGTGTGTGTGTGTACTGCTACGTGAGTGTGTGTACTGCTACGTGAGTGTGTGTACTGCTACGTGAGTGTGTGTACTGCTACGTGTGTGTGTACTGCTACGTGTGTGTGTACTGCTACGTGTGTGTGTGTGTACTGCTACGTGAGTGTGTGTACTGCTACGTGAGTGTGTGTACTGCTACGTGAGTGTGTGTACTGCTACGTGTGTGTGTACTGCTACGTGTGTGTGTGTGTACTGCTACGTGAGTGTGTGTACTGCTACGTGAGTGTGTACTGCTACGTGAGTGTGTGTACTGCTACGTGAGTGTGTGTACTGCTACGTGTGTGTGTGTACTGCTACGTGAGTGTGTGTACTGCTACGTGAGTGTGTGTACTGCTACGTGTGTGTGTGTACTGCTACGTGAGTGTGTGTGTGCTGCTACGTGAGTGTGTGTACTGCTACGTGTGTGTGTGTACTGCTACGTGAGTGTGTGTACTGCTACGTGTGTGTGTGTACTGCTACGTGAGTGTGTGTGCTGCTACGTGTGTGTGTGTACTGCTACGTGAGTGTGTACTGCTACGTGTGTGTGTGTGCTGCTACGTGTGTGTGTGTGCTGCTACGTGAGTGTGTGTGTACTGCTACGTGAGTGTGTGTACTGCTACGTGTGTGTGTGTGTACTGCTACGTGTGTGTGTGTGTGTACTGCTACGTGTGTGTGTGCTGCTACGTGAGTGTGTGTACTGCTACGTGAGTGTGTGTGTACTGCTACGTGAGTGTGTACTGCTACGTGAGTGTGTACTGCTACGTGTGTGTGTGTACTGCTACGTGAGTGTGTACTGCTACGTGAGTGTGTGTGTACTGCTACGTGTGTGTGTATACTGCTACGTGAGTGTGTGTACTGCTACGTGTGTGTGTGTGTACTGCTACGTGTGTGTGTGTGCGTACTGCTACGTGAGTGTGTGTACTGCT